TTTATTCAATTATTTTTTATGTTGAGCCTTGAGTAAGAATTTCAAACATTAAAAATAATTGTGAAGAAAATGCAGTGGCCGTTACTCGTGTCAAATGTTTGGTACGAGATGATATAACACCTCCGGTATTTGTATTGGCTATCAGCTGTCGGGTTATCTTCGAAACCGATTCGTGTATTCTCATTATCTCATCTGTATCAACAGAAAGCTACTTTTATAAAAGTGTTTGCCACGTTGATGTTATTGAATAGTGATAAAATAATTTGATATAAACTGTAACTGAATATTGCACGCTTTGGAAACAGGTTTGTTTGGCTACATGTTTGTTTTTGAGGCATTTGTTGCTGCTAAAGTAACTTTAATTCATAATAAAATTATTTCCCTAAATTAAAAATATGTCAATGTTTAATGATGCTCTAGTACACGTAAGTCTACTTCACAATCATATATTTTCTCTGCAATAAATATTTTGGAATTATTTCCCAAAAATGTCAGGTATAATTGTCATCACAAACATTTGAATGATTTATTTAACAATGAACGAAGTAATGAGCCATTTTCAGGTAAAACTCTACATGTAATGCAGTATAAAACATTTTATTGCGTGTTCTTTATGAGAATTGAATCACATAGTTCCACTAAACATGCCTACAAAAACAAATATATTTAAGTATAAATATAATTTAATTATTAACTATGCTACTGTTAATATGTACATATATATAAACACACTTTATGAAAACAAAATACTGTTTGGAGGTATCCAGATCACACTTATTGTCATTTGGATGAGATAGTCTGCGAAGTTGTAGGTGATGTGATGGGCATCTTCGTAGACAAGGGGCCTGAAACCTGTGAACAAAAGGAAGACACTTATGAGAAAGTTTCTGGCCGAAAAGGCATAAGTGTGCATTGTTTCATTAAAATATGGTGTTAAGTGAAATTAAATACACTTTATATTATCTTTGTATATTTTGAATTGTATCTAACGGTCGAGCTCTAGAAAACGTATTTACCCCATCCTAGCTAGACTTTCTAATTTGATATTGATTGGCTACCACCGGAGCCAACTATTTTTCTCTCTCATATTAACCGGCAGAGAACGGAACAACGAGGCAATTCAAATTGTATCCTTGCGTCGTTTCGCGGCTCATATGGATTTATATTGACAACGATGAAGATGATAATACATTAATTTAATAATAATAGTAACAATAACAATAATAATCCCGCTGAAATGGTGATTCTCCATGACATGATATCGAGGGCACAAACATTTTAAAGAAATCGTGGAGAGACAAATCCCCCATGGACAAGTTACTAAACTACATATACTAATCATTTACGTGACTTAAAAGGGGAAGAATGAAGCCCGAATTTGACGTTTTAATAGCTGTCCAAGAATCAGACATTGAAAACGCGACGCAATGATAAACGAGTTCTCAAAATGTTCCAGGATGATTAAAGTTGTCAGGAACAGGTAGGAACCACTGATCATATATTCTCAGATTCCGAGCCTGTCCAATTCTAAGAAAGTAGGAACGCCTGAAAAGGAATGATAGTGTCATTTGTTATTTACCCTATTTACCCAGAACAGTAACTCCATGTGCTCCAAATGACACGAACACTCTCTAAAACCCACGACTGTTGGACAGTGTACAATATTGCTCGGCCACAAAGGCAAACTACGATGGCGGCAAACAAACCAGATATTGTTATTTGGGTAGCACGGCGAAATGACTCCTCCACGCAGATGTTATTCGGAATTTAGAGCAAAAATCGTGTCGTTGTAGAAGTTACTGGCCATGCGATCTGAAAATCGCAACGAAGGAGGCAGAAAAAAGTCAAACACAATAGTTTGGAAATCGAGATAAGCCGAATGTGGGTATCCTCCGTACAATAACTTTTGCCCCGATAGTTATCAGATCTCTGGAATACGTCTCGCAAAATTTATATCAGAAGTTGTACGAATTCTAAGATATTTCACACGGCTGGAAAGTGCAAGATAGGCGTTGTTAGGAGCAGCCCATATTTTCCGCAAAAAATTTGCAAAGGCAAGGACAGTCACAAAATCTGCTCCTTAGGAAGCTAGATACAAGTTGAAGTAGGTTTCATAGATTTTACATTTAACCGCCACCTAACATCTTTACTTGCGAATTTGGAGAAAATTATAATTGTAATAATAATCATAATTATAATATTAACAACAATAATAATAAGTTACGGCAAAACCATTTCAACTCAATATGACGTTTTTAAATTAAAGCTTTATTTACAGCCTCGAAGCAAAATACATTCTCAGTACTCGTTCTAAGAACCGCTGTAAAGTAGACGAACACTACGTTTCAGATATAAATTGGTACCCTTTTCCGATAAAACATTCAAAAACCATTTTGATAATCTTATTTCCAATTACAAATTAGGAACTGAACCAATCAAGCATACCAATTTATTATAATTTTGAAAGAATGTAAAAATAATGAAAACAATACAGGTTAATTTGTGGGAGGGTTTAGAGTAACGTAGGTGCATAATACTTGTCACAAAACTTAACAAAGAGTAAGTGCCGTAGAACTAGACGTGCGTTTTTTATTTGTACAGATGGAAAAGAAACATGGTGCCTTGCCAGCTATAAAACGTACAGAAATTATTGAGATTCAATTTCTATTGGAATGGTAGTTTGTTGGCGAGAATTACAATAAAATTATAGAAACAGAACTTTAAATCTGCAGACTTTGGGCAAGTTCAATGACATTTTGTTTCTTACAGATAAGATTAACAAAGACGTTTTGTAATAATTAGATAAAGTACATTATCCACTGATACTAGATAAGTAGACTTATACCGTGGTTGGACGATTTTTACTCTTTTCACCAAACTCACCGCTGGGCTGTATGAATTGAATAAAGTCTTGAAATAAAAGTTCTTCAAAATAAGATATTCGGTTACAATTGGCACCATTTATTTATGAGGCAGGTCGTTCCGAATTGCAACCATCTATTCGTTACGGCCTGGATTTTACTTCATTTCTGAATCTGTTTTATATCTTACCAACACTTCTTTTGCAAACGAATATTTAAATTGCAGATATCCTGGCTTTACGTTACTAACTCTCAGTGAAGTTAGCCGACTGCTGTACCCCTGACCGCGTATTTTCAACGACCCTGTCTACACTATATCCGTAAGCTCTAGAAATTTTAGAACAGTGATATCAAGGTCGATGCCACCAGCGGGAGTCAGTGGCACGAGTAGCACGATAAAATCACCCCTCCACGCAGTTGATCACCTCGCCATCAGAGTGCAGTAGGTAGTGAAAGTCACCCTGAACGCTGTTACGATTTACGCGATAAATACCCTATGGCGGGTTTTACATAAATTTAAGAACGCTTGTTATTATTTTTTATTTACATTTTTATTTTTAATTTTTCGCCCTCGTTCGTATCAGAAAACTGTAGGGTTACTACTGATAGTTTCCTTACCCGATGCACGTTACACTGAGTAGTTCGTGGCATTCCACGGTGCCACGAAGCGTTTAATAGCTACCAGTAGCTGACTTTCACGTAACTGATCTAGAAGTTATCAATCGCAATTAAAGCTTTTCCCAGATAACGAAGTCGTAAAGGTTTAGAATCCAACAAAAATGTATCGTGTGTTAAAGAAAGGTCGCATCATATCCAAGATAAAAATGCCTTCAACTTTCCAGGACAAATCATTGAACGTGATTTCCAAAATTCTGAAAATATGGGACTATGACTAAGAAATATAGCATACTTGATTAATGCGTCAATGTTTAGAAGTACTGCTACAGCTAATCCAAAAGCATTACTGTTGCAATTGCTGGCAAACAGTGTAGCATATATTTCAAAATGAACCCACAATTCTAAATTGAAAATAGCATATTATTTAATTGTATCATGATAATAAACGTCGTAAATACAAGAAAACTTTATTTCTATTTTTTGTTTGCATCACTCAATGCTATTCTTGAAAATGGATTGTATCAAAATCTATAGGCACAATTATTTGATAAATGTTCAAACAAAACTATAGCTCTAAAGGAATATACCTAGTTGCTATTAATTGTGATATTACGATCAGTCCAAAAATATTCATTATTCCTTGAAGTATGAATCAATTAAGAACTAATATGATTTGCATTGTAAGCAAAATGAAGGAAAATAAAGTGTTGTAGTTTCACAACTACGTTTCTTGTTTCCTGTCAATACTATTTTATAGTGACACTGTCACAATAACATTGAACAACGCCAATGTCTCAATCTATGTATAATCTTTGCATATACAATGATAATATCGAAGCAACAGAACTGAATGCAACGTGTTGCGCTGAATGCAATTACTCCACTACAAATTGATTCATGTTAGAGGGAAAAATGCATATTTCAAAATAAATATGATTTGTATAGTAATCAAAAGGAATGAAAGAAAACAATGCAGTAGTATCGCAATTTGTTTCTTATCAATGCTCTTTATAGTTACAATGTCTGAATGACAATGGTATTTAATATAAAATACGAAACACTATTGTGAAACCCGAAAACGATGTGTGTAGGCCGAAAATAAATTGCTAAAAATCGAATTCTACATTAGAAGCGGAAGACATGAAACCCTTTTTTTATTGAAGCGTTATTACAAGCGCGAGGTTTACTGTAGCTATTGCATGTTGGATATAAATTACGTCAGGTCGAAAATTCTAACGCTTCTCAAGGACAAAAATATCGATAGTAACATTCGCCAGATAAGCTATGTAAAACCAATCATATCCCAAAACGATATACAATAATATACCAATACGATATACAATAATATACCAATACGATATACAGTAATATCCAAAAACGATATACAGTAATATCCAAAAACGATATACAGTAATATCCAAAAACGATATACAGTAATGTTTCTACATCCGTCAGATAAGCTATTTATATATACCCAATAATATCCCAACAGCCGGGAGACAGGCCTCACCTGGCGCGTGATCAAAAGACACGTCGGCACTTCCCTCGGAAGTACCTCTGGCCCTGAGGGCAGCGCGCCGGCACGTCGATGATGTGCGCCATGTCGATGGAGTGCTCCCACTGCTCCTCCAGCTCCTCCACCTCCCTGGAGGACATGCGCGCCTTCCCGAACACCAGCAGGCACGACGTCAGCAGCAGCACGGCCAGCACCACCAGCAGCGTGCGCACCAGCGCCGTCGCGTACCACGGCGGGTTCTCGATCTCCTTCTCGTCCTCCTCTTCCTCGTCGGGCTCCCCCGCGGCTCTGTTGGGGTCCCCTTTCAGAGCAGCGGCAGCTTCTCGCGGCGGGTCGTCCGACATCGTCGCAGCGCTGGAGCCCGCTTCCCTGCGGACGACCGCCTCGACGGCGAGGCCCTCCGGACGCACGTGAGCGACGCGATGGTTGTTCGCCGGGGGGCGTGTGCGCGGAAAGCCACCGGGAGCAGTCACGCCACGCCCGTGCGCGGAGCCCAACGCACTCCCGCCCGCCGGCCGGCAAAGATAGGGCGAACCTGCGCCGCGTTCGCTCTGCAGCGGCCGCTCCCAGCGGCTATCGCCCATCAGTTGGCCCAATCGCTGGAAGAGCGCGTTCGCTGCTGATAAGAGATGACTCAGGTGGGTGACCGACGAGTTGGAATGTACTGCATAGAGTGCAGAAGCGGATGGTGGTTTGCGAAATAGGAGGAGCGGTATGTACGTCCGAACCGTCACATACATTTTACCTCTTCACAATATTTAATGAACGAGGTAAACTGTGGAATGTAGTTGCACGATCAGGATTTTTGCAGACATCAGGATTTTAATCCCTGTGTAAGACAACTTTTATGTTGAGAACGAAAGACATAAATTGTGCTCATGCAAAAATACGAAATTGTAAAACAACTCCAGTAAACAAAACAATAGTAATGGTATTGATTGTCTGTATTTTTTATCTTTGTACTAAAATGGGTTAACTGGTTCATAGACAATTACATTTATACAGGTATTATTAACATGACCTCGAGATCTCTAACTGCCGGCGACCAGACCATAGACGCGTGTTAATATTAGTACACAAAATTGAAATATTATGCAATGGCTTAATATCCATGTTTATCTACTCATTTGTTGATGCTTGTTGTCTCGTGAGATGATTTTTATTTTTGATGTAAATTTTGGATTTTATTATTATTCATATTATGACGTAACATCAGTTGTATGGAACTTGCGTCAATACGAGTTCATTTCATATGTGAGTTGAGGTAAGCTAACTGGTCTTGTGCCTTCTGCTATGCCATATCTAACAATGTGACATGTATACATGTAAACATGATTTTATTATTATATTTTAACTATCATGAGTTATTTTGTATTTTCATATTTTTAATTGTTTCTAATGATTGTTTTACTTGATGATTTAGACGCATCATGAGCTTCGAAATGTTGTAAATAGCTGAATAAATCATGTTAATTAGTTAAAACCTGAATAAGTGTCATTGCCTGGAAATCGGAGAACCTACTTTAATATAAACAAAACAGTAATTTATAAAAACAAATTAAAGTGACTGTATTGTTAGCTTAGTTAATAGCTACGGACTCTGCCGAACCAAACTTAATAGCCCTCTTCCAACTCCCAGTACCTCTACTCTTTCTCAAGCTTCCATTGTTTCGCATGCATCAGGTACGGATGGGCTCCCGATAGTCCACGATGCTACCCATTCCGAAAACATTTATCTTTTGTATTATCGGGCACTTAAAACTAAATTTGTCCTCAGATATTACGCTGGAGGTTTGCACAAATTAATCAAGTTTTTATTTATTGCGAGTTTAATACTCTCTGCGACTTTTCCGGAGGTTGTTTTTTCTGGGGAGACGTCGTCCTAGAGCTCTTATGGAGTAGCCACCACTTGTAGGGGCTGAAGCGCCTCCATCTTTGCGGTTAATTGAAGCCGTTTTTTGTGCAGTCAAAGCAGAGTATTCTAGTATTCCGTTTGGCGAAGGTTACGGCCAGGTGGGCGCGGGTCGCAGATACTATAAATCCTCGTACTCTGCGTTTCACGGCCAGAAACTAATCATTTAAAAACAAAATCACAATATATATTGAGAACGAATTGAAGAAATTTAAAATTACATTGTTACGTCTATCGGTTATTGTCATTAGAATGGAAGCTATTGAAATGTTATTGTAGGTAGTGTAACACCTGCACGTGAATGTTATTGCGATAAGAAGCAAAGGAACAGATTGAAAATAAGTCGGTAAACTTGAAAAATGATCAGGCGTTATTATATTCCTGCTCTAAGTGGAGACGTTTATTACGCGGCCAAATATAAGTGTATTACTTCATATATCATCTGTGTAGTGAACTCTCATATTTTTGGTAGTAAAAGTATATTACTATTATTTTCTAAACATATTTCTTCTCTTAATTCAAAAATTATTTTTAGATGATCACTTTCTCTGAATTGGCTGAACCTATGAATTTCATCCAAGAAAGAACTAAATTATGCTACTTTCACTAAGCTTACTTATGGATTTTTTTCTAAATGACTAATTAGAACCATTATAACCTGTAATTATTTACAATTAATCTGAAAGTGTTCTGTGTATCATTATCATTATATTCGTTTTCATTAGACGATCAATATAGCACGCGTGGTTGTAGTGGAAGTTTCCTTACACAGGAAGGATTCGTTCTCCGTTGAAAACTCGGCATAAACGCGTCATAAACTAGGAGATTCGGGTAGGTTTTCCAGCCGCTGGGCAGACAATTCTTTGAACACCTCAGACATAAATATAGTAATGCCGTTGGCTTAGTAACTATGGAGTTGTTAAAGTGACAGACATTTATGAAATGGACAACTCATTTTTACTGAATTGTTAAGACAAAAACTGTGATAAAATATGTGGTGAAAAGGGTAGCTTTGCGTTTACCAGAAGATCCAGCTTTCGATTCTCAATCGAGATAGCAATTTCTTTGCAGAGTTCGAACATTTGTAATAATGATTATGATAATGATAATTAACTGCAAAACCGAGAGATGCGACAACAGCACCTACTTTTTGCCATAATTTTTATGGGCTACGAAATATTTTAACACATGAATACAGAAACGTGTTTATAATTGCAAATATTTTCTCGTCACGCTGAGGTTCGTGGAGGTTCAACTCCTTGGAGATAATACACAAGTCACAATACCCTTACACCATCATCCTCACAGATAGACTCAACCTTCCCGATGTGTAAAAACAGGTGAACATTTGCACGTGTAGTTTTTATAAATTCTGCTATTTTCGTTTACATTATTTCAAGATCTAGTTCTGAAGAACCAATTTCTTTAAGGAATATATTTATCATCAATATCGTTATCAATTAATATCATTATATTTACTAAGTTATTTGTTGTTAAAGAACATATAACACACAATGTCTTCGCGAGCTTGATTTGGCAAGGTTCTATCTGAAAAATTTGTGAAACTGAGATTATATTGTCGTGATTTTCCTTTCAAGAAGTTCTTTACAGAGAACTTGTCATTTGTGATCAACGTTGGCAATCAAAAATCTTTCAGTGTGACAAAGTTCTATCTGAAATTTTTAACTAGTCAAGGTTGTAACTGCTAGTCACTTATAACTCATATTTCTTGTGTTCTGTATTGGTGACGTCTTCATAGTAAAACAATCTTAATAGTGAATTTAATATTCCGACACTTAGTGAAGTGTGTATGTGTTAAATTTGAAAAGCTAAATCACGTAATTCCTTAGTAAAATAACTTCTGATTAGGATATTTTCTCGAACAGTGGTACAGATCTTTTCATTCCACTTACATGTTCCGAGAATTCCAGTAGTGATTGTGGATGGAAAATAACTAAATAATTTCAGTCAGTAATAATTTGAATTAGTTGTTATTTTAAATATTTAATTACGAGCCTTTTGTGTCATATTCCTTAAAATTAAAAGGATTTATTCATGTATTTTAGGTAGCATTAAAACTATTGGGTCATTAGTGACTTCACTTACATCAACAAATGTCATACATGTTTTAGCATTTACTATTAATTTGCATGAATATGGGTTGAATGGAAAGTATTTTATTTAAAATTTTGGCCTTATTGTATTATTTTGTTACTGTTGACAGACAGAAACATACGTTCCATGGGAATACAAACAAATACGTTTGAGATACAAGACGGAGGGAAAAACGTCTCCTAGTCATAAAAAAGTAGTGCGTAAAGAGGAGATTCCATTCCTGAATTATTTAATTTAACAGCGTACTGTGGAACTTAACAAACAATTTTTCATTGCAATGTACCTAAGGGGTTATGTTAAGCGTTTCTCGAAATAAGACAGCCTCGCGTTCTTCGTCCGCTTGAGTCCCATTATCGCCCGACGTTTGTCTGGGCTTTCCTAAATGAGTGTGAATGAGTGACGATAGGCCATCAACCGGTCGCTTGCCTTCAAGGGTGAAAATGCTAACAGGTCGCAAGCCTCGAGGCTCTTTGTGGTGGAGGTAAGGCCCCCTAGAACCCGATTTACTTGGTGGTACTCATGTCGTTAGCTTCAAAGGTGTGGCAGTGAGTAGGTGATTTGCCGCCGAAATGTGGACAGGATTGGGTGTGGAACATGTCTTAATTCCATATATAAAAGTCCGGCGGGGGGCTTGGATCTCCATGCCAGTTACCTAGATTCCGGCTGTACTCACGTCGATAGCTCCAAGATGGAGGCAGTGAGGAGATGCGTTGAGGGCCTCGAGCCATCTGGGTGTCGATCAAACCCCTCATGTGGGCTTTTGGTTTCGTCGGTGTATTGGGCAGTGCGCGACACGTACGGATAATTGAACAGGGATTCGTCTCGGCGTAATGTGAGCGACGCTTAATTCGTCTGTTGTGCTACCCTGGAAGGCTAGTAGCTCTGAGCTGGAAGTGGACCTAATTGGGGAAATTCCTGTGAAGGGAAACTGCGTTCCGGTGGGATCCAAATTCCAACCGAACGATGTACTACTAGTGTGTTTGAGGAGGAGGATACATGCTAGTGCCTATGTGCCCACCCCGGAGAGAAACTACCCCTGTAGATAATGTAAGTGCAGGCATAAGAGGCACAGAGAAAATAGGGTTTCACGTGTAGTTTGTGTTGTAGTTCTCTGTAAGGCGCTTAAAATCTTTTCTCCGTAATTAATTAATACTTGCCACAATAGCTTCATTTGCCATAATGAAATCCTCACAAGGGACTCTTTTGAATGTTTATGACTGGGTTTGTCAGCTGCACAGAAGATGCCGGCTAACAAACCCCCCGCCCAAACCCTCTCGAAGATCGGTGGCACCACATATTCACTGACTCCACCTTGAACCTATCGACGTGAGTGCCACCGTAACTTAGGCAACCCTGACTGTGGGGTTCATGTTCTCCGTCTGGAATAATTAAAGACGTTGTCATAGCCAACAATATTATTTAATGTAAGAGCAGCTTTCGATGGCTTAGCCATCATCATCAGTTGTGATCATCATCATCACAACTGATGATGATGGCTAAGCCATCGAAAGCTGCTCTTACATTAAATAATATTGTTGGCAATGACAACGTCTTTAATTATTTCATAAAAAATGCCAAAGATATCACACCACAGCACCTATATTCTCCGTCTGGACTGTTATGTGTGGGTTTGGGATCCGCCGGCAGCTGCACAGAGGATGCCAGCTTACGAACCCCACGCCAAATCCCTCCTGAAAGTCGGGGGCAAGCCACCTATTAACTGCCTCCACCTTGAAGCTAACGGCGTGAGTGCTTCCACGAAACTTGGGAAACGGGTGACCGTTGACAATCCTTCACTAGCAACAGTGACCTCCGCGCTTGGTGACCC